TTTGACAAAAATTAAAATTTAATTTAGTTCACTAGGGGATTTCTAGTCAAATTTGACTAAAATTTCGCTTAGTTTTAGGTCATTGGATTGTTTCCATTGGCGTGCTTCAAACAAAATATGACAACAACTTCATCACAATTTTGTTAAATGGCACGTTTTAAATCAAACGTGAGTAAAATTTCAAATGGATTTTGTTCATTGGTGCACTTACAATCAAATTTGACTAAAATTTCACATGGGTTTAGTTCATTGGCGCGTTTCCAAATAAATTTGACTCAAATTTCACTAGAGTTTTGTTCATTGGCATATTTCTAATCAATGTTGACTAAAATTTCACCTAAATTTGGTTCATTGGCACGTTACCAAAAAATTTGATAAAAATTTCATCTGCATTTTGTTCATCGGCAGATTACCAATCAAATTTGATCAAAATTTCTCATCGGTTCAGTTCACTGGTGTGTTTCCAAACAAAGTCAAATTTTATCTGTCAATGATAAAACTCAACTGAAAATTTAGTCAAACTTGATTACAAACATGCCAATGACCTAATCTCGGGTGAAATTTCAGTCAAATTTGATGGGAAACCTGCCGATTAACAAAATGCGAATGAAATTTTAGTCAAATTTAATTGAAAGTGCGCCAATAAACAAAACTTAAGTGGAATTTTAGCTAAATTTGATTGGAAACCTACAAATGAACAAAATCAAATTTAAATTTGAGTCAAATTTGATTGGAAACGCGCTAATGAGCCAAACTCAGGTGAAATTTTAGTTAAATTTGATTAGAAACACGCCAATGAACAAAATTCAAGTGAAATTTTAGTCAAATTTGATTGGAAACGCGCCAATGAACTAAACTTATGTGAAATTTTAGTCAAATTTGATTGAAAGAGCACCAATGAACCAAATTCAGATAAAATTTTACTCAAATTTGATTAAAAACACGTCATTTAACAAAACTCAGATGAAATTGTTGATTGGAAGCGCTATAATGAACAAAATTCAGGTGAAATTTTAGCCAAATTTGATTGGAAACGTGCCGAAGAACTAAATCCATGTGAAATTTTAGTAAAATTCTATTGGAAACGTGACAATGATAAAACTCAATCGTGAACTTAGTCAAATTTGATTACAACCACGCCAATGAACTAAACCCAGGAGAAACTTTAGTCAAATTTGAGTGGTAACCCGTCGATGAACAAAACATGGATGAAATTTTAGTCAAATTTGATTGAAAATGCACCAATGAACTAAATCTTAGCGGAATTTTAGTCAAATTTGACTAGAAACCCGCTAATGAACAAAATCAAATTTAAATTTGAGTCAAATTTGTTTAGCAACGTGCCAATAAACTGAAAGCATGAGAAATTTTAGTCAAATTTGATTGGAAACTCGCTGATGAACAAAATGCAAATGAAATTTTTATTGAATTTGATTAGAAACGCACCAATGAACCAAACTTGGGTCAAATTTTAGTCTGATTTGATTTGAAACGCTCCTATAAACAAAATCCAAGTGAAATTTTAGTCAAATTTGATTGGAAGAGCACCAATGAACAAAATTCAAACGAAATTTTAGTCAATTTGATTGAAAACGTACCATTTAACAAAACTTAGAAGAATTTATAGTCATATTCAGTTTGAAGCGCGGCAACGAAAAAAATTCATATGAAATTTTAGTCAAATTTGATTGAAAACGTGCCAAAGAACTAAACTCATGTGAAATTTTAGTAAAATTCTATTGAAAATGCGGCAATGATAAAACTCAATTCAAAATTTAGTCAAATTTAAATAGAAACACACCAATGACCTAAGCCTAAGCGGAATTTTAGTAAAATTTAACTGGAAATCCGCTAATGAACAAAATCAAATTTAAATTTGAGTTAAATTTGATTGGAAACGTGCAAATGAACTAAACCCATGAGAAATTTTAATTAAATTTGATTGGAAACTCGTTGATGAACAAAATGCAGATGAAATTTTTGTTGAATTTGATTGGAAAATGCCAATGAACTGAACCCATTAGAAAATTTGGTCAAATTTTGATTGGAAACCCGTCGATAAACAAAATTTAGGTGAAATTTTAGTCAAATTTGATTGGAAACATGCCAATGAACCAAGTTCAGGTGAAATTTTAATCAAATTTGATTAGAAACAGGCTAATGATCCAAACCAGGTGAAATTTTAGTCAAATTTTGTTGGAAACACATCAATGAACTAGACTCATGTGAAATTTTAGTAAAATTTGATTTGAAGTGCACGAATGAAGAAAATCCATTTGAAACTTTACTCACTTGCATGTTCATCACCCAATAGCAGTTTTTGAAGAAATCAGAGCAGATCCAAGTGAAAAAGCGAGTGGCATGCATCCCAATGTAGTCATTTTAGCAACTTTCACTCAGAATTTCATAATGGGACCACCACCAATGAACTCAGAAGGCCCCAAAACCCCTAGGGTGGTAATACCATCGTCCAATTTGACAGAATCGCGACATTGGAATCCGAGCCGCCACAAACTGTCCACGCAATTACTTTTAGTACAGTGCTCAATACATTACATGCCTCTGACCATTATAAAGCCCATGGAATTCTGACCACTCACTTGAAATTTTAGTGGGAAAGGTACCCGGATGACCTGGATCGAGGAATCGACGTTCGTGCAGTCGATCGAAAAAAATTGGAATTGCGGCTAGTCCGATCACCGTTCAGCCAAATGTGCTTATCCGCTATGATCAGCATCCAATTCTGTACCAACTTGTGGAATTTCATCAAATTCCAAGATCGGAGATTCGTGAGCCACCATCGACCGACCAACGGCCTATCGACGGCACTTCTGCACTTTCTGGGCAGAATGTAGCCCCAGTTAATCTATGCACAATTCCATCAATGGATTTGCTGACTAAGAACCCTAAAGTGCCCAATCAGGCTCAAAAATTATATGCTACTGCACTATCAGGCAAAACCGTTATATCTCAAGCTGAGTGAAGCCACAAAAAGTCTTTTGCACCGACTCTTCAGGCCCCACAAGACTCCACTGATTATAGATTGGACTCTAAAGACCCATTCATGCATAATGGTGAGCCAGCTGTCTTATTTACAGAAGAGAAAGAATAACACATTTCTGCATCGTACAAGTTTACACTTGTTGGGAAGTTCTATTATCGCAAGCCTTCTATGATCAAGGTACGCGATAGTTTTTTATATTTTGGATTTCATGGTGATTATATGATAGGATTGATTGATACTTATCATATTTTGATTCACTTGGCACACGAAGATGATTATTCTCACATATTTCTTAAGCCCACCTGGTACATTGACGGGTGTCCCATGAGAGTGACCAAATGGACACCTAGCTTTAGTCCTCAGCATGAGACCCCCATTGTCCCTATTTGGGTTTCATTCCTTCTGCTTCCCATCCGCTTTAGGGCAAAGAGCATTTTGTTTGCTATATTCAAGGCTATTGGACTTTCATTCCGTGTTGATGAAGCTACTACTGATTTACGACGTCCTAGTGAGGCACGAGTATGTATTGAGGTTGATCTTGATTTTAAGCTCCCTGATAGGATATGGATTGAGAGAGAGAAGAGAGGTGGATACTGGCAAACTGTTGTGTATGATAAGATACCAGAATTTTATTATCGATGCAGACATTTTGGGTACTTTAATGAGAATTGTATGATTGGATCACGCCCTGCTCCACCACCCCCTACTAACCCAGCTCCTAGGCCTCTTCAAACAGCCAAGGACAAGGGTAAGGGTAAGGAAAAAAGAGGTAATTGTAGAGCCTCATCAGAAATGGACACCGATTAGGAGAGATAAGAGGTAGTAGTGCTATGCTAGCACTTCATGGGACTCCTCTGTACCACCAATAGCTACCATTACTAATCCTATAGTTGTGCCTTCCACACACACGAAGTCTTAGCCGGCTCCTTCTGTGGTTCTTCCTCCAGTTATAGCCCCAATAATTATTAGCACAGTTGCTCAGCAAACCCTTATTCAGAATCAATCAGTTGGCCCTTTAGTGTCTCCTCCTATTGTTACCACTCTACCGGTTCTCAGTATAGTAGCTTCTCAGACTATTTCAATACTACCTACTGATTATACTTCGATTGCTGCTACTTGGCCTCTACAAGAGGTCATGTCTATTTCTATAGCACTACCTGATACATTACTACCATCTCCTCAGATCGGGATAGTACAGCCCCCAATTTTTACTACATCTACTTCGCCTTCGACTTCAGTTATCAGTCCATCTTGTACTCCATTCTATGATCCTATGTTAGATGATATCTTGTGGTGGCCATAGATATTTGATTATTCAGAGGGCATAGTCACCACAGCTACTCACATTCCAGGTTCGACATCAGATAGGGCTCGGGCACCTACGTCTACTTCTTCTCGTACATTTGTCATCAAAATGTGGAGGCATATATTCCTTCTATGAAGTCAGCTCAGTCAGATACAGAGTGTTCATCTTAGATTGAGGTTCACCAGCAGGGACCCTTTCGTAGATCTTTGTTGATGACTTGGTTGGTTTGGTTGAGAGGTCAGTGGATGATGGATTTATCTCAGTCGTTCAAAAGAGACATCCACGAGTTACTGACACTCCTTTCTCGAGTAGGAGGATCACTAGGAGTCAATCACATGATACCTCCTCACATTCTCTATCCATATGAGTGCCATCATTTGGAATGTGAGAGGTGTAGCTAGTGTAGCTACTCGTCGACGCATGAAGAAACTCATAAAGCTTCATCAGGTTTATCTTTTGGTTACACTGGAGCCTTTTGTTCTTCAACACAACTTTCCATACATTTGATGATATCTGCGCTTTGGCATGGGAGCTCAGAATGAATCGAATAAAATCTGGATTTTCTGGAATTCGAGGACTAATGTTACTGCTATTGTTGACCATCCCCAGTTCTTTCACGTTAGAGTTGAGGACCCCAGACTAGCTTGTCCCATCTATTTATGGGTGGGTCTTCACCACATCTCCCTTGATATGGATGATCCTTGGCTAGTTGGGAGAGACTTTAATGTTATTACACATGATGGAGAGCGCACTGGTCATAAAACTCGTGATCGAGGCACTACTACTTTCTCTGATATGATGTTAGACTATGGTTTAGAGGATACGGATTTCCTTGGAAATCGATATACTTGGACCAATGGTAGGGTCAAAAAAAGATTGGATAGGGTTCTGATAAATTCTACAGCTGCAACTTCTGCCGATAGCTTATAGTGAGACACTTGAATCGGACTTCATCTAACCATTCTCCTTTACTGGTTCAGTGGATTTCTAATGATGACTTAGGGCCTAGACCATTTAAATTCCTTAATGTCTGGACCAAGCATCATGACTTTTTAGCATATGTTTCCTAGAAGTGGTCACTCCCTACTCATCTCACAGGGATGAACACTCTTTGGGAAAAAAAATTAGGTAAATATAGGGATTGCGGATGTGGAACCGACATGTAATTGGAGACATTTTCTAGCAAGTACGAGATGCTAAGGTAGGGCTTGATGAGGCTGAGATACTATATGATAGAGACCTCACATCGGAGCACCGCGACTTTACACATCATGCCCAGGCAGTTTTGAACATGACCTTGTCTATTGAGGAGGGTTTTTGGAAGCAAAAGGCCGATTCATGTTGGGTATGTGAGGGTGATCACAATACTCGATATTTCCATGTGATGGCTCAGGGTCGTAGGATCAAATCGCGTATCAAGTCTATCAGGACATAGGCGGGGGAAGTTTTATCTACTCCGACTAATATTCAAACTTCAGCTATGGCATTCTACCAAAACCTTTTATCCGTTCTACCACAGTCTTTGGACCACATTCGTTCCGATATCATTCCCAAGCTTTTGACGGTAGATGGTAATATGGAACTAAATTGTCCCCCTTCAATTTATGAGGTAAGAGAGGTGGTCTTTAGCATGGACGCTGATAGTGTAGCAGGCTCAGATGGCTTCTCAGCCCTATTCTTCCAGCATTGTTGGGATATCATTCAGGAGGATGTTTACAGGGCAGTATTATATTTCTTTGATGGTAGTCATCTTCCTCGGGTTTTTCTGTTACTACTATTGTCTTGCTTCCGAAGAAGGACGGTGCTTGTAGATGGAACGATTTCAAACCCATCAGTTTATGTACGTTGTTCAACAAGCTTATTACTAAGCTTCTGAACACTCGATTGAGTACATTACTACCATGCATTATCTCTCCTCAGCAGAGTGGTTTTATCCTCGGTAGATTGATAGGGGACAATGTGTTATTGGTGCAGGAGCTCCTCCATACATTGTATGATAGAGTGCTGGGAGTAACACTATGCTAAGCTAGACATGGCTAAGGCATATGGTCATATGGATTGGGGCTTCATCTATTCTGTTTGGAGGCATTTGGATTTGATCATATCGGGATTGACAGGATTAGGAGTTGCATTTTGGAGTGTTATTTCTCTTGCTCATAAATGGTCGACCATGTGGTTTTTTCCCCTCTCCGGGAGGGCTTAGATTGGGTGATCCCATTTCGCCATCACTGTTCATCATTGCTACTAATTACTTCTCTCGCCTACCCACTCAGAGGTTTTAGGAGTTTCCCAGTATGTGTTATCAGCATGGAGGTAGTACTCTTGTCTCACATCTTTCATTTGCTAATGATATGATTATATTCACAAATGGTCAGAAACAGTCCATCAGGAAGGTTCTCGATTGCCTAGAACCTTATAAGGGAGTTTCTGGTCAATTGGTAAATAGGGACAACAGTGGGCTTATACTACCCAGACGGACATCTACTGGTCAAATAAGACGTTTGGAGATTTTGACTGGATTTCAACACCAGCAACAGCCTTTCACTTATCTAGGGGTCCCTTTATTTAAGGAGATCAAGAGGAGTTTCATTTATGATGACCTCATCCAGAAGATCAGGGACAGGATCTCAGGCTAGGCCTCACGATTACTATTACCCGGGGGTCGCATTACTCTGCTAAAATCGGTACTTTCTTCTATACCATCGCATCTTCTTCAGATCATGCAGCCTCATAAGGCTATCCTGAAGAAATTTGAGAGCATCTTTACCTGATTTCTGTGGGACTCTAAAGATCAGGCGCGACATTTGCATTGGAGGAGTTAGAAAGAGATTTGCCTTCCTACTGATGAGGGTGGTCTGGGCTTTAGGAGATTACAGGATGTGGTGGATACTTTCTCCATAAAACTCTGGTGGTAGTTCTACTCTCAAAAATCGATTTGGGCCCAATTCTAACTGGGCAAGTATTGCAAAGGGACACACCCTTCACTTGCCGTAGTTTCAAGGTCAACCTCTTTCACATGGAAGAGGCTAAAATCAGTAGGGCCACAGACAGAGCCACACATTGCTTGGCACCTTGGAGCTGGTAAGATTTTCTTCTAGCATGACTATTGGATGGGCGAGTTTACACTGACATCCCTTTTCCTACACAGGCAGCACTCATCTGCGAGGGTGCAGAACTTTTTTGATGACACTTGGTGAGACTTTGGACGATTATTACAGGCTCTTTCCCCTCACATGGTAGAGAAGATAGGGGTGATACTTTTATGTGCAAATGTCCTCGATTGCATTGTTTGGAGGGCCACATCGAATGGTAGTTTTGCTACCAAATCAGCATGGTAGCTAGTTCGCTCGGCTCGCCAATCTCAGGATTCGTATCGATTACTATGGAGCACCATCTTACCTACCACTATCTCATTCTTCTGCTGGAGAGTATGGCAGGATCTCATTTCGATAGATGTGGTTAATCAGAGGAGGATTGGGTGCCACTTAGCTTCTCGTTGTTAGTGCTGCTCTGAGATTGACACAATCAGTGATATCTTCACTGGCAACAGCATCTCCTTTCAGGTATGGCAGCATTTTGGGGACATCTTTCAGATACCTATGAGATCAGGAGAGGGGGTCAGATAGAGGTTCCAAAGATGGAGGTATTCTAGACAATACATTAGTAGAGGAACATTCGTACTATCATTCCTCTCCTGATATTCTGGTTTTTATGGATCGATGGGAATGATACGAAATATAGAGAGATCCGTATGGTGGCCAGACGTATCATTTGAAGGGTCTACCGCACTATTTCTTGTCTTCATATGGGAGCACTTTTTAGAGCTGTGCACTGGCGAGGGGACTACACACTTGCATTACTCTTTGGTATTTCTATGACTCTCCCTTCTCCACCACCACCTACTATAGTTGTTTGGCGCACTCCATCGATGGGATCATACAAGATAAACACCGACGGATTCATCAAGTATGGATTTGCAAGTGGTGAAGGTATTATTAGGGGTCACACTGGATGCTACATCAGGGCATTCTCGACATCGTACGACCCATGTTTGATTCTGGAGGCCGAGATCAGAGCTGTAAGTGATGGAATTCTATTGGCCAAAGGACTTGGATTATCAGGCATTTGGATAGAGTCAGACTCTACTATGGCCATCCACTGCATCACTAGAGGCGGAGGACCATGGGAAATTTAGGGCATACTCAGACAGATCACAGACATTATATCCTTCGACAGAGATACAGTTTCGTACATCTACAGAGAGGGGAACTATGTCGCAAATGCACTTGCTGTAGAGGGCTGGGATCATCAATGTTACCAGGTATATGGACCACTAGACCTACCTCGACATATTAGGGAACTTGTACAGATTGAGAGACATGGACTGCCCAACATTAGAATTTAATTTTTTATTCTTTAGTTGCACTATTTCTTATTGTAAGGGAAGTAGTACTTCATTATTTATTATTTTACATTTGTCCTTTATCATTTACTTTCTTTGTAAGGGAAGTAGTACTTCCTCATTTATTGCTTTTTTCCACATATAACCATGGTATTCCTCCACCACAAGTGAGGGCATATTAATAAAACTAACGGAGGTACCACCCTCCTTCAACTTAAAAAAAAAAAAAAACCCTAAACCCTAAACCACCAAACCATTCTCTCCCTTCTACTTTCTCTCTCTAGCTCAAAATGCACATTTTCCAAGGTCACCAAAACTTCATCTTCTTTAGTGATTCAGGATCTGAGACCCTCACCAAAGATTCTAGAAAGGCTGAAAACCCTAGGGGGTGGTAAAGATTGCATCCGATTAGATCGAAATTGACAGATAGATTCCCGAGGGGCCGAATTCTGATTTTTCAATTAAATCCTCTATGCACATCATTAGATTACCCATGAGAAGGAGAACCTTCAACTAAAAAATTATCCTATTCCGACACCGGACCCGCCGCCATGGGCGATCGAAAGTAATGGCCAATAGCTCAAAAAATTGCAGATTCTGGCCAATCCTGAACTCATTTTTGAAAATGCAACATATCGTGATGATCAGCATGAAATTCCATACCTCCCTATGAAAAATCATAGTGTTCTGACACCATTGGAAAATCACCATTGGAATCCGGCCACCCACCGACCAGCGCGTGGTGGTCACGCGTCGATGGCTCTTCACCAAAATGTGGGAAATTTTGTTACCGACTTAGTTCCATCATCGAATTTTCCATGGGACATCCCTACAGTAACTAATCAGGTTAGAAAGTCATATGCGACTATACTCTCTGGTAAACCGATGGTCTCTCAAGCTTAACGCAACCAACAGAAGTCTTTTGCACATATTATGCAGGCCCCATAGGACTCCAATGATAACAGGTTCGCTTCTAAGAAACCTTTCATGCTTATGGGAGAGCCGGCCATTACATTTACCAAGGAAGAAAAAGAGCTCCTTTCTGAACCGTATAAATTCGCACTTGTTGGCAAATTCACACATCGCAAGCCCTCTATGAATAAGATGCGTAATAGTTTTCAAAAATTTGGTTTTTGTGGTGATAATATTATAGGGCTTATTGATGCCACTCATATTCTAATACACTTAACACACGAGGACGATTATTCACACCTGTTTCTTAAGCCCTCTTGGTACATTACTGGTTGTCTCATGCGTGTTTTTAAGTGGACACCCAGTTTTAACCCTAAGCATGAGACCCCTATTGTCCTCATTTGGGTTTCATTCCTATTATTGCCCATCTACTTTCAGGCAAAGAGTAGTTTGTTTACCTTAGCTAAGGCAATTGGTGTCCCACTACATATTGATGAGGCGACTTCAAATCTACAAAGACCTAGTGAGCCAAGGGTATGTATTGAGGTCAATTTGGAGTATAAGCTTCCAGATAGGATTTGGATTCAGCACGAAAAGTGTAGAGGATATTGGCAAATAGTTATATATAAGAAAAAGCCTGATTACTATTTTCGATGCAAACATTTTGGTCATACTGAGAAGCATTGCCTCCCTGCACCACCACGTACTCTAGCTGTTGACCCTACTCCTAAGCCTACTACAAAGGTGGCCAAGGATAAGGGTAAAGGAAAGGATGTCGCTTTTGAGCTTCCTAAGAGATGGATTCCAATTCAGAGAGATCAGAGGAAAGAACATGATGCTAGCACATCTGGAGTCCAGATTTCACCTTCTGTGTCCACTATCATCACATCAGTCCTATTGCCTTCTGGCACTAGCTCACATGCTCAGACTCAGCCATTTGCTCCTTCATTGGCTCTTCCATTTTCTACAATCTTGCCAGTTATCAGTGCATTAGATCCCACTACAATTACCTCTCCTTCAGCTCCTGTTCAGATTATCAGTCCACCTACTCCATTTTATGATCCTATGTTGGATGAGATCTTGAAGAGGCCACAGATACAAAATTCTTCGGCGGACACAGT